CAAGGCACGAAAGCTTATGCTCCCAATACTTCTGTTAGTCTTAAAGGTGCCACAGGACCCTCTGTTGCTTTCCTCTCTCTGGTGTCCTTTATTTCTCATCCAGGCCCCTGGAATGTAGTCCTTACTCAGGCTAGACATCCCTGAACTCAGTGAGAGTTTTCCTTGTGTAAAGACTGGATAGCCACCTGTCTTGGATGATTTAGACATAACAATTGCTGCATCTTGGAGGAGGTTAGACTAGATGACCCTTGCAGTCTCTTCTAACCATATGGTTCTATGATTCTAAGACTAAAGGATTCTAAGACAATGCCAGCCCAGTCCCTTCCAAGAAGTGAGTGGAGGGGGTAAAAAAAAAAAAAGAGAGAGAGAGAGACGAGATCCCATATACACAGCACCAGAAGGAGGAGGGGAAAAGTGCCAGAAGCTGTTTCTGCTGCTGCTTCCACTCCTGTTTCTGGAGCTATTGTCTGCACCCCCCCTTCAGCCGGGCGGGCAGCAGGGGAAAGGATGTTAGTCACATACACTGCAGCCACTGCCCAAGGATTGCTGCAGAGATGCTCTAGGTCAGGCCATGCAGCACCCTGTGGATCACTGGTCTCCACAAGGGGAAGAAAGCCCGCTAGATTTATTGTTCCCCGCCTTGGCGAGCACCTCAGCCTGCCCCCTGCCTCCCACAGGCTCAACTCTGGCTGGTCCCGAAGTAGCTCTATAAAATACACTGCGCCCACACACACCTTTCTCCTGAACAAAACTCGGATCCCAAGCCTAACCCAGTCGCAGGCTCGCAGCGGTCACGGGTGACTTATATAGACAGCCGAGGGGGTGGTTTGCAGGAGCTTCCTCCTTCCCTTGTTGCTGGTACGGATGCTGATTGCTGCGCTTCTTTGTGGCTGCGGGTCCCGAAGCGGAGGTCACCTCTCAGCAGCTTCCCCCCCCCGCCCCCCACTGCATATTCCTGGTTTTTTAATGCTGTGCATGCAGTGCGGTGCTGACGCAGAGGGCGCGCCTCTCACTGTCCCGGAGTTACTGAATTTACAATGACTCCACTGTCTACCAAATGCCCTAGACCAAAGGAGACTGCATCAAAAAAATCCTTTGTCACCCCAGAGAGATAAGGCTTTGATCACATGGGATGGCATGGGGGGGGGAGCTAATTCTGCTGTCACTGCGCGATTTTTTAAGGTGTACGTTTGGCTGTAAAAATACAAACTATTAAGGCTCCCAGCACACAGGCGAGCTGGAGTCATGGCATACCATAGGCACGCCCCCAAAATTGCATCCCAAAGTCGACTTTTTAGCTGAGGGCTCCCCTGGTGCAAAGCGGGGCTCCCAGAGCGCACGCGGGGGGGGTCACAAACAGCCTCTGGTCCCCTTTATCCTCCCTTTTCCTGAGGAACTTCCTGGCTCTGCCCCGAAACCCCCGCTGCCAGCCCTCACCCCACGGCTGCCCCAGTGGGGTCCCGCTAGCTCTGGAACAGGAAGGACCTGGCTGTACGTGCGGCATAGGACGTCCCTGACCTAGAAGATGGAAAGGAGACGACTTCAGGTCAGCAACATTTACTAAGTGCCCGCTCGCCTGGGCACCGGGAATGCCATCCAGCCCTGGTACACCTGCAAGGAGCTAACACCGCCCCACCATAAGTCAAACCAGGACCTCCTCCCAGCGCCTCCACCCCGGGACCCTCCTTTGCAAACCCCCACAGCCCTGCCTGCAAACGGGCAGGAGACCAGCCCCGCGCTTTGCTTCTGCAAACTGCCGGGAAGGCAGAGAGCTCCTCCGCCGAAGCCCCGCCGCAGTGCTAGAGCAGCGGCCCCCTCGCAACGGCTCCGGTTCGCTCCCCAGCACTACGGCGGCAAACCCGGGCGCAGGGCAAGAAAACGGGCTTCGAACAACGCGGTCCCCGCCACCGCGCTGGGCAGGACCAGCTGGCAGCGCCCCTCCGAACGGGGGGAACCCGGAGGGGTGTAGGACCCTGCAGAATCCCTCCTGCTACGGCCCAGGCTGACGCGCGAAATAGCAGCCGCCGCCGCGCGGCCGCCGTACACCTGCTAGCGGCGTGAGCCCAGCTCGCCTCGGAACACACCCGAGCCGCCTGCTCCCGCTCTCTGGCAAAGTGCTTCCCCGTGCTCTGCAAAGGTGCCAGCTCAACTCAGCTCCGTCCGGGAACACACAGCCTGATCCCGGGGTTTTTAGCTAACCTGTGTGTGCGCGCACCCACGGCAAGGGCGGGGAGAGTGCAACAATCAGGCAGATATTACTGTCAAGCCCTCTCTCAACTTTCGTCCAGAGTTTCGGCTAGGCTGGAAAGCCCTGCTGCATTGCCCGTATTATTTTATGGTCTTCATCCTAGTTTCGGCCAGACAACGGGTGTTACTTCCTCCGTACGTGTGTTTGTGTATAAAATTGCAAATCTTTTAGCAAAACAATCATAAAGCAGGGAAAGCCCTGCCAGTTTCCCTGTTAGCTGCTGCTGCGAGCTCTGGGAGCGGTGTGCTGCTGTGTGTGACTGAAGGAGAGTGTTCGGAAACAACGTTAAATTATCAGACAGAAAAGTCTGACACCGGCTGCTATACGGTGACTGTGCACGTTTTAATCCTCTCCGCCCTCCCTCGAATACCTTTGGAGATCATCCCTTACAACACTGGTATTATCTAAACAGACCCACAAAGCAATAAAATACAATTTAGATCTTGTTCAACATCTGGCATTAAAACATGAAGGGGAGAAAAAAAAACCCACCACAGGACTTTGTTTTTACGACCTAATTTAAGTGCTGTCAGGTGGGTTCACTCACAAGTTAACTCCTTCCAAGAGCCTGGAAGACTGGATAGCTACGAAGGCACCACCCTCCTTAAAAACCAATAAGTCACTCCATCCAAAGTGACTCGGCTACTTTTATATATGCTCCCGACAGAGTCTTTAAAATTACACTGCCAGGAGGGTAGCTCCAGGCCTATTTGCCTACGTGTGGGCGCACAGGCTCTTAAAAGTGGATGAAGGCATAAGCCCTCCAGTTCTCAATGGTGAGTCACAAATAGCGACCTCTGGAAATGAAATCCACGGAATGCTCTTTAAAATTAGCTCCCAGCTTTACACACATAGCTCAGAGAGCCCACATTTTGCTGCATGCTTATGGAAAATGACAAGCACCGGTCTTAACTGGATACCTGCGCGCCCTATAATTCCTACCTCCTACAAGGTATTGTCATTATTCTTATTTCATGACTAAGATCTTGTTTTATGCACGCAGAGATCATTCAGAGAGAGATCTTGTGCGAACAAGGAGGGTCTGCCGGTGGATCCCTCACTGAAAATCAAGACGATCAGTTTGTAATTCAGGTAGTTAACTTATTAAGATTTTTTTAAAATCTTTCTATAAAAGTGGCTACAGACTGACAGCCACTCCCTTCAGGAAACTCAGTGGATTTTAAATTGTAGTAGTTACTGATTAAAAACCCTTTAAACTCCTGAAATCAGCCCATTCAGTAGAAGCGTCCTGAACAATAAACAAAAACTCCCAATATCTCTCTCTACCCTTAGGCATAACTTAGAGCTAGAAAATATTACTACTAAAAATACTGCAAGTGCCGCTGCTGCAGTTGTGCCACCCGCGTATCTGCATTTCCGTACACATTTCTTTAGCTGGCCCGTCATAACAATAAATCATTCTCCTCCCGTCTCGTTTCCCCCCGTCTTTTTATTAGTTCTATCACAGTATTTCATCACATGACCACTAAAGGGTTAATGATAATACCTACCAAATCTGCTGTGGTCTTGCCTGGTTCCCTGGATAGTACCATTGGGGAAGATTTCTAAATGAAATCCAGTCCTGCAGTATAGCTGCCTCCGCCTGAGGATCCCCTTTAAATGGTCCAAGTCCGTGACTGCAGGCCCCCTGGGTAGCCCACCTGCCTCAGACTGACCCAGGTGGTCACTTAACAAACCCGGACTATCCACCGGCAAAACGGGCACATTCCCAAAGGGTACTGCATCCTGCACACCGAAATAGTTCCCAACTTCACCTAAGGGAGCCATCAGAAGATTCTGTTTTTAGAGAACAAGAATAAACAATAATGGTGCCAAACCCAGGAGATATAAGATTGGGTATATCCACTCCACTTCCCCTCCCTATTGCAGTTACAGAGAAGATGTTCTTTCTTCAATCCATTAAATGCATAAATAAAAGTAATATTCTGTTTTGACTGGTACAGGGTCAAGGTCAAACCCCTGTTAGTCTAAGAAACCACCACTTTATACTCACACACTGACATATTTATAAACATATATATGTGTATATCTATATATATGTATATATATCCCCAGCTCTTAGCAAGCAGTAAGGTCTTCAGCCCATCCAACTGTAATAAGGAAAAAAATCCGTAGTTTCTCCATTTGGTTTAAGATAAGAATGACCATAGCAACTTAAATACCTAGGCGTTATAGGGATTTTTTTTAAGATGCACAGGCTACGTCAGGATTTATGGATTCTGACTCCAGAAAGGCATGCGCTGTTTTTACTCTATAACAGACTGCATACATCAGCATGAATCCTGCAAGGGGGCGGGGGAATCTCACGTTGTTGGCGGAGATAAATCCGAAAAAGAAAAAAAGAAAAAACTTTTGACGTCCAGATCTATTATCCAGAATTCTCAGGAGGCTCAGCAGATGTCCGCTGGTTTAGAATTATTGACGATCCACAAGCAAAGCAGAAACGTACAAGTGCTTGTGTCTTTCTTGGCTGGCTCGAAACAGGTGTTGCTTCTGCAGGGCTCCCTGTGAAATGTTGTACTCCAGCACTGAGCTGCAGCTCTTGACTGTGGATCTCCATCCAGCACGCAGAGTGGCGCAGGAAGAGGCATTGGGCTGGGTTTAAGGTAGTCCTGATTGCTACTGGGAGGATTCTCCGAGGTCCTAGCGCTCAGCTCTACCTGCTGCAATACAGATACGGCTCCAGCTCTATTCACTACTTAAAGTAGCTCTCTTACTGCTCTGCGGCAACGTATGCATGCACATAATTAAATAAATGCCCAGAAACGTTATGGTATAAATGAAACACGTGCTTAATGTGTAAAGCCAGACTGCTGCTGGAAGCAGGATCTTTTGGGAGATCCCTGCAGAGTCAGGTCCACCATAGCATTGGATAAAAAGCATTATCGTTGTAACTGGAAAACTACTCTGAAGGTGGATTCTGACATTCCCGGTGTTATTTGCGATAGGGGACTTAGAGGTCACTGACGGTCTGGAAATCAACCCCGCTCTTGCGAATGTAGATAGAAATACCAGCCTCTGTGTCACAGCAAATCATTGCTGGTTACACTGACAATTGTATGTCAGGTACATTGGATGCCAGCCACCTGTCCCCATGAAGCACAGCGTGGAAATTCGATCGGTCACCTGGAAGTTTGTGAAACACTTTTATTGGAGCCCCATTATTCTTCAGCTTTACCACGTGGAAGTTTTCCTTCGCTGGAGCCTGACCCTCTTTCAGCGCTGTCGCACCACACAGCTCATGGGAGGTGAGGGGCGCTGGGGAGCCGCCGCAGCCAGGAGTAGTTCAACTCGCACCGGAGGGGGCACTTTTGGGACAGCTCTACCCTGCCTTTTTTTTTCTACTGTGATCTACGGTACTCACACGCTAGGGAGAGCCTCGCTCTTTGCTCGGAGGAAGCTGTAGACTCCTGCAGTTCAGAATCAGGATAAGAGCGTGGGATTATAAACGGCTTTTAAGACTCGGGAGGATGCAGGGGAGAATCTGGACAGTGTCCCCGTGCTGCTTCCAAAGTCTCCTGCAGCAGCCGACTCCCTTAATGCTTCATAATGAAATCACTTTTCTGTGAACCGGACTCTTCGACGGGTTTCTGCGAGCAAACTACAGTCCAGTGCAATTTTAAAGTAAACTACTCTGCAAACCCAAATGGTTTACAAATCAGTATTGTCCTAGCAACAATAATGCAATGCATCGCAACAATCTGTTGGGGGGGGTGGGGTGCGCGGAAGGTTACTAGTAAATCTGGTGGGTTTTTATTTATTTGTCACCAGCCATATCACAGCAATGAGAAGGAAGTCGCCAGAAGGGTCTGTTGATTTGCCAGAAAGATTATTTTATATCAAGGTGAGGTTTGAATGACATGACCCTCTGATAGGGCAGGGCCCAAAGAGGTTAGTGGTGGACGCTGGAGATGGGTCTTTGAGAGGAAGAATTTTGCAAGCAGATGAAAAATAATATATTTGGTGGTTCTTTTATGTGGGTGGCTATCAAGGAGCTGGTGTGACCCATCTCACCTTTCCCAGCTACAACAGTTTGAAGAACAGAATGGACAATATTCAGTTTTGGACTAGCAACAGATTTAAAATCCAATATCTCACTGTATAATGGGACTAGAAATTTGTACTCTATGTTCCTGGAGAGGAGCTGGGAGCCACCTTCCCACCTGTTTCTAGCCCTGGTAAACAACCAAATATCAGACGCTCAGATCACTTGGTTATATTACCACTGCTGTGTCAACAATGCAAACTTTCATTGCCCATTAGTCCAATTTTCTAACAAGCAATTTCATGCTCTTTCATGTCACCCATTATGTATGGAAAAAGCTTCCCAGTAATATCCCAAAAGCCACTACATAACAGTCTTCAAATATGTTAATGGCTATTATAGAGAGGACAGTTCTCCATGTCCACTGAGGTTCTGACAGAAGCAATGGGCTTAGTCTACAGCAAGGGAGATTTAGGTTAGATATTAGGGAAAACTTTCTGACTGTAAGGGTAGTTACTTTCAGGGATAGGCTTCTAAGGGAGGTTGTGGAATCCCCATCATTAGAGCTTTTTAAAAAAGGTTGGACAAACATGTCAGAGATGGTCTAGGTTAACCTGGTCCTGCCTTGGTTCAGGGGACTGGACTTGATGATCTCTTGATCTCCAGCCTTATGATTTTATGATTGTTTTCCTTATAATCTCTCCTTAAAATTCATCTCTGCCAAAAACACTTGATATTGGCTAGGCCTGCTGCTTTTTGTGCTAATCATGCCTGTTTCACTGTTTTTTTTATCTTTCCACAATGATACATCTGTTGTCTTTCATCATGGGGGGAGATTTTTTTTATAACCTATGTCTCCCATACCTCATATAATGGATTTTGGTCCCTGAGTTGGGCCTCTAGGTGCTACCATAATACAATCTACACCAGCATTAGGTGGGTGTTTGAAAGCTGTTCAGAAGTTTGTAATGTCAGCAGCAGAGATGGATTAGTGGGCAGAGTGCAGGTAAAATGGCTACAAGGTTATCACATGAATAGCAGCACCATAGTTAAAAGAAGGAGAGATGCACATACACACATATGGGATAAGAAGTTTTGTGGCATAAAGGTTTTATCTAACTTGAGGCTCTGATGTCTGAATTACTCATAAATATCAAAGCCACACATGAATTATGCAGGACATCCCAAATATTATACCCCTCTGTAAGTAAGTGGTGTTCCAGCCTGGCACCACACAAAATCTATACACGATGCATAATGTCAAATGCACCCCCTCACAAAAGTTTGCCTTTATTGATACCTCAAGCAATATTAAAAGCCTACACTTTTATCCCCAAGACATCCATGTGGAAATGTCTCTATCACTAGTTCCTTTTAACCAGAGTTTCACGCCTACCTCTCTTATATCCTGGTGGAGTTAAAAGGTTGTGTCTGCCACAATGAGTCATCAGAAGTTACTTCTCAGCTTTCTACAGGATTTTAACTGCTAACAGAGTGGATCAACACAGTCTTGCATCTCCATGCAGGATGTAGTTCCTGGCACCCTGTTGCACCACCATATAAACTTCCCATATGTTCCACATCAATGTGATATTTTTGAGATACAGTGCATGTATCATGCACCTTTTACTGCTTCACCTCCACTTTGCCCACCAGTTCATCCCCTGGCTTATTTCTCACATATCAAATTCTGAGCAACTTCTTATAACCACCATCATAAAAAAATCAATTTGCCATCAGAAAAGATTCTTCCTTTCCCAAAAACATATGGAGATTCACCCAAAAATGCTTGGGCCTCACCCCTAGGATGAGCAATACTGAGTCCTGGATCAGTGTTAGGTTTAAGATCCTGTACTTTGTAGAGGGAGAATTGGAAGATTTATACCATTGGAAAGAGAGGCTTCTTAGTTTTCCAGAGGGACACATAGCATTTGCTTCTGGTCCTAGAAAGTCTTGAGTTATCAGACTTTAAAGAAGTGACATTTGTCGCTATTTTAGGAGGCAGTGTGCCCGAGAAGTAGCTACTCTGTGTGTCATGTTCCCTTAATCTGTATAGATATCTACTCATATATCTGCACAAGTTAATGCTGTTTCAAACAACATTAACTCTTATTTTGTGCCTTCAGCCCCCTAAGCAAAAGGAACTGTTTAACCAGCTATGGACAGAGGATCCACTGGCAACTTAGAGAAACCATGCTGCCATGAAGAAGAAGGGATCCAGTCATCACCATGGAGGGATCAGCTCTCAGTGGGGCTCCAACTTCCTTTTCCCAAGGGGACCCAGGATCTGCAGTTTGCATTCTGTGTGGTCCCACATATAGCCCACCAGGTGAATTTAGGGGAGTTTTGCAGGACATCTGTCACCCTTCTGCAAACTTCACCGCAGGATGACAGTATACCAGTAATTATTATTACTGATTATGGCATTCTAGATGCACACGGAATTGTGCAATAGGACTGCGCTAAACATCTACCCATGCCTTAAAGTCCTTACATTCTAAGACAATGACCTGGTACAGTGCAAATGAAGAAAACAATACATCAGAGGTGACATTGAAAACATGCTTGTCAGATACATGCATAAAAACTGGAATTTAGGCATGTAATACTATTTTCAAGTTCTCTCCCAGGAGGGGAGGGATTGAGAATTGAATCAATGCAGAGAAAAGGTTGTTAGGATTGTGCGCAGGGGATTCAATTAAGTTGGAGAAGTAGAGTTGGTTAGCAAGGAAGATGGCAGAACTGAAGGAGGAAAGAACAAATTCGTAGTGGAGGTCACAGGATTTCCACGAGAGATGCTTCACAGTGAAAGAGCAACAGCAGAGGAAGCTGAGGTAGGGGGTGAGCCACAGTGGACCTGACTGTGGGAGAGAAGGGCAAAGGAGTCACAGGTGGAGGAGAGTGAAGCATGGAGAGACTCAACAACCATATCATTGGAACAGAGGTCTGAGAGGAGATGCAATGTTATCAATGCTTATGGACTGGAAGTCAGCAGAAAGGCTAAGAGATAAGGCACTGGGGAAATGGGGAGGGCTGATGAATGCTGCTAAAAGAGATCATGTGATGGTTGGGGAGAGGGAACTGAGCAACAGAGAGACCAGAGAGATAGCAGTGCTTGGTAAAGACCAAGTCAAGTAAATGGTCTTTTTAATGAGTGGGACAGTTAAACCAGGGCTGCAGGTCAAATGAAGGGGTGAGCGCGAGGAAATATGCAGCTAAGGGGCAGGATAGGTCATCAACATGGAAGCTGAAGTCACCAAGGATGAGTGTGGGAGATTGTGAGGAGAGGAAGAGAGTGTTTCTGCTCCTCTCCAAAATGGGTGGAGAGGGAGCTAAGCCATTAATGTAGATACACAAATGAAACCCTAAAAGAAACAAATATTTAGGCAAATGCCACTTCGGTCCGGCAGTTCAAGACTACTGAAACCATATGACTGAAGTAGGTTGGATTAATAAAAGGAAATCACAGATGGCAGAAGAGTAAAACACACAGGAATCATATTTATCCTGTGCTGGATAATATCACATCATACTTAACTTTTCAGATGAGAGGATTATAAACCACACTGCAGTAGCATAGCCTGCATGAATTTCCTATGACATGAT